CAACAATGCACAACACCTACATATCATACACAATATTTACGCGAAAATACGAAAACCATCATTTTCCCGAAATGTTCTCCAACTACTCTCATAATTACCGATTTCGAACAATATCTGGCTGCTCGACTCCATATTGTTCAGCCAATTGAACGGAAACAAGCAAAAATCGTTCGCGAAAAAATCTTCTCTTTCTTTAAGCTACATGATGAAACATACGTTACACAGCTCACATGAAAAAGCGAAATTCGATCGTTTAGATGATTCCAATGGCATCCACCAGCACATCTGTTCATTGGAAACGATGTAGACCATCTCTGGCTCGTACATATGGATCGTGTGGTGGCAAACGATTTCTACCTGCTCATTGTGACGTAGTGTGCTAGAAAATGTAGATAAAAGGGAAATACCTTGTGAAATGGGCCTGTGTTGAAAGGATCGTCGTTCGTAGGTTTTATTCGCAAGTGGATGTAGATGCACTGTATTTTTTTCATGGTTTCTATGTATAGCTGTTGGAGGAATGAATGATATAAGGGATTCTTAAACGCGTTGTAGTACGGCGAATAGTAAAATATGAATGTAATAACGGGCTGCTGTTTGTTTCAGATAACGTAAATCTTTGTTGCTACTATTCAACGAAGTAATAATGGTCGGGTGCCTAATTTGTGAAAGGGAATCGACAGATGGTTGTTTCCCATCCTGTGATGGTATGAGTCGTGGTCAGAAGTTTAGTCGACTGCTCCAATATTTAGAAAAATGCACACGAGGTGATTTTTATCTTGATGTTGTTCATTGTGCTGTTGATCGAATCAAAATGGTAGAAATTTATCTGAGATTTTTATCGTCGAAAGAATGTTATTACAATTTAGATGGATGTGTTTATGATGCCGCTTGACTTTTTTCCGGACGATTCTTTTGATGAAAGGATTCATGTGATCGATATCGTGGCAAGAGAATATCTGGAAAAAGCATCCGTTGACGTTCGTCATCTTATCCCAGCAGATGTCTCTATCATTCTGTTCTTCTTTTGATGAACAATTCTGTAATGACAACCAGCGAGTTAAGAGGCACTGATGTTTCAAAAGTGCACTTCTTCATGAGAATGTTTTTTTGAATTTCTAGTGCGCACTATAGTCGAACTCATTACAAATGAAACGTATTATTCGAGTATGTTTGCTTCCGTCATTGGCCCCTTCGATATAGCTATCAAAGGTGTCTGCAAAAACAACGCATATTCGGAATTTTACGAAATTAGTGCTCTGTGCACAGTGGCCGGCCGTGACATAGGACGTGNNNTATTATGAATTCTGTGTTTACGCCGATTCCACCGACTATTGGAAAGTATGAAATAAAAATTTTATGGTCAAATATTCGCAGGGAAGCCATTCTACGGTCAATGAATAATAATCATTGGAGTCCGAATCATTTCGTTCCTCTAATGTCGCCAAGTATACGGCATGAATATGTTGGTGGTAGTCATATGAAATTGTTTAACAAAGTGAGTGATAAACTCTTATGTGCAGATCCGAATTGGCGTTATGTTTATTTTTATTTTTCACAGACGTCTGAAAAGAAAACAACGAAGAATAATCACAATTCTCATGTACGGATTCCTGAATTTCAGTCTTCACCTAGTAGACGTTTACGTAGCGAAACTAGCACAAACANNNTAAATCAAGAAAAATGGGTGACGAAAAAAATTTCTCTTCACATGTGAGCTGTATCGTAAAATATACGTTGAACAGCTCACATGAAAAAGCGAATTTCGATCGTTTAGATCATTCCAATCGCATTCACCTGCACATCCGTTCATTGGAAATGATGTCGAGCATCTCTGGTTCGTGTCGTTACTTCGATTGGACCTAAATCAAGAAAAATGGGTGACGAAAAAAATTTCTCTTCACATGTGAGCTGCATGGTAAAATATACGTTAAACAGCTGACATGAAAAAGCGAATTTCGATCGTTTAGATCATTCCAATCGCATTCACCTGCACATCCGTTCATTAGAAATGATGTCGAGCATCTCTGGTTCGTGTCGTTACTTCGATTGGACCTAAATCAAGAAAAATGGGTGACGAAAAAAATTTCTCTTCACATGTGAGCTGTATCGTAAAATATACGTTGAACAGCTCACATGAAAAAGCGAATTTCGATCGTTTAGATCATTCCAATCGCATTCACCTGCACATCCGTTCATTTGAAATGATGTCAACTATCTCTGGTTCGTTTCGTTGCTTCGATTGGACCTAAATCAAGAAAAATGGCTCACGAAAAAAATTTCTCTTCACATCTGAGCTGTGTGGTAAAATATGCGTTAAACAGCTGACATGAAAAAGCGAATTTCGATCGTTTAGATCATTCCAATCGCATTCACCTGCACATCCGTTCATTTGAAATGATGTTGAGCATCTCTGGTTCGTGTCGTTACTTCGATTGGACCTAAATCAAGAAAAATGGCTGAGGAAAAAAGTTTTTAGAATGATATTCGAGGTGGTTGATGAAAGAGCCGTTTTTAAGTGTGTAAAAAGATAGCGATTGGTGTCGTTTGCACTATGATTGGTATTCGTCCATATGGACCGTGTAGTGGCAAACGATTTCTACCTGCTCATTGTGATGCCGTGTGCTAGAAAATGTGGATAAAAGGGAAAATACCTTGTGAAATGAGACGGCGTTGAAAGAATTGTCGTTCGTATGTTGTATTCGCAAGTGGATGTAGATGCGCTGGATTTTTTAATGGTTTCTATGTATATCTGTAAGAGGAATGAATGATACAAGGGATTGTTAATCGCGTTGTAGTACGGTGAATAGTAAAATATTGATGTAATATCTGACTGCTGTTTGTTTCAGATAACGCAAATTTTTGTTGCTACGATTCAACGAAGTAATAATGGTCGAGTGCTTATTTTGTGAAAGGGAATCGACAAATGATTGTTTCCCATCCTGTGATCGTATGAGTCGTTGTCAGAAGTTTAGTCGACTGCTCCAATATTTAGAAAAATGCACACAAGGTGATTTTAATCTTAATGTTCTTCATGGTGCTGTTGATCGAATCAAAATGGTAGAAATTTGTCTGAGTTCTCTATCATTGAAATGATGTTTTTACAATTTAGATGGACGTGTTTATGATGCCGCTTGATTTTTTTCCGAACGATTCTTTTGATGAAAGGATTCATGTGATCGATATCGTGGCAAGAGAATATCTGGAAAAAGCATCCGTTGACGTTCGTCATCTTATCCCAGCAGATGTCTCTGGTGATGGAAATTGTCTGTATCATTCTGTTCTTCTTTTGATGAACAATTCTGCAATGACAACCAGCGAGTTAAGAGGTACTGATAGTTCAAAAGTGCGCTTGTTCATGAAAACGTTTTTCAATTTCTAGTCCGCACTATAGTCGAACTCATTACGAATGAAACGTATTATTCGAGTATGTTTGCTTCCGTTATTGGTCCATTGGATATAGCTATCAAAGGTGTGTGCAAAAACAACACATATTCGGAATTATACGAAATTAGTGCTCTGTGCACAGTGGTCAGCTGTAACATACGAAGTGTTTATCCTGAAATTGACTTTAGAGCCGATATGGCTATTATGAATTCTGTCTTTAAGCCGATTCCACCGACTATTGGAAAGTATGAAATAAAAATTTTATGGTCAAACGTTCGCAGGGAAGCAATTCTACGGTCAATGAATAATAATCATTGGAGTCCGAATCATTTCGTTCCTCTAATGTCGGCAAGTATACGGCATGAATATGTTGATGGTAGTCAAATGAAATTGATTAACAAAGTGAGTGATAAACTCGCATGTGCAGATCTGAATTGTCGTTATGTTTATTTCTATTTTTCACAGACGCCTGAAAAGAAAACAACGAAGAATAATCACAATTCTCATGTACGGATTCCTGAATTTCAGTGTTCACCTAGTAGACGTTTACGTAGCGAAACTAGCACAAACAGTGATCATGTTCAAATCATCAATTTAGATACCATGAAACAAAATGAAATGGAAAGGGAAGACCAGCATCAAATGCGACTTATCACTCTAAAAGATCGTGCTCGTTTGAGACGGAGTAGTGAGACAGATGCTCAACGTCAAAATCGGCTGCGAAGAGATCGAGAGCGAGCCCGAAGTCGACGAGCTAATGAAACACAAGAACAACGTCAAGGTCGACTAGAGCAAAAAAAAGAGTATGCTCGAGCAGCTCGAGTGGATGAATCAGAGGAAGAACATCAAAGTCGACTGGAACAGAAAAAAGAATACGCTCGAACAGCTCGAATGAATGAATCAGAGGAAGAACGTCGAAGTCGACTGGAGCAAAAAAAAGAGTATGCTCGAACAGCTCGAATGGATGAATCAGAGGAAGAACATCAAAGTCGACTGGAACAGAAAAAAGAATACGCTCGAACAGCTCGAATGAATGAATCAGAGGAAGAACGTCGAAGTCGACTAGAACAGAAAAAGGAATATGCTCGAACAAGTCGAGTGAACGAAACAGCGGAAGAATATCAGATTCGGATTGATCGTCAAAGAGAACGAAGTCAATCGAATAGAACTAATAAAAAATTGGATGAATTGGCGATCGACAATACTTTCGTTCATCAACAAGGTATCCATGATCATGCATATGGGAATAACGGCTATATATATCCTGCTCATAACTCGAAGAATGGAATCGAACGTCACGATAGTGCCACAAATAGGAACAAAATAAAAGATTCTCTAACTTGGCCAGCACCCGTATCCAGTGAATTAAAAGAAGAATGCTTAAAACAATTTCTTCAACAGATGTCTATGGACAAACTTGCTGAAGTGACCTGTGCAGTCTGTAATGTTCGTAGTTCAAAACAGCAATGCAAAATAGTTCCAACTTCGACAATATCTCACAAGGATCTGCTCAAAGTATCTGATGAATTAAAAGGTTTAATTAAAAATATTCAACTACCAATTCCAAAACATTTTACTGGTAATATTCAATACAACACTTTGGATACCTTTGAAAAGAAAAAAACGCTTATGACTTCTGAAGACATGCGTAAATTTTTTTTATGATTTTTTAGGACCTTCCATTCAAAATTCATTACCTTTCTATTTTGAAAATGATATTGTTCTTTATAAGAATGGGGTATCTCAAGATAACGATATAACTATGTGTTCGATTTGTCAAAATTGTTCTGATGCTCTTTCCAAAGAGAAAATTCCAAAATTCTCAGCAGCGAACAACATGTGGTTAGGTGATATACCTACCCAGTTACAAGGATTAACAATCCCAGAACAAAAGTTGATCTCATTGCATCGTCATAATAGTTGTGTGATAAAACTCCACTCACCTTTTCATACAGCAACAACTGCACAGGGGGCGTTGA